CAGACAGTATGTAAGCTAATGGCTTGGGTACAAAGATCCGGGTCGTTACAAAAAATCGGGTCTCTGTACCTAAGCCGTTGGCTTACGTGCTGTAAGCTTCGGGTGGGCCTTGGGCCCACTTACCCCTCACAGCTTACTATCGTGTCCCCTAAGATTCGAACTCGTACCATTTTTCCTTAAGTAAGACTTAAGTTGAATCCTAGTACCAATTGGACAAGTGGTAAGTGGGCGCAAGGCCCCCCGAAGCAAACAGTACGTAAGCTAACGGTTTGGGTACAGAGATCAGAGTTGTTACAAAAAAATGCATATTTTTTTTAAACAACCCGGGTCTCTGTACCCAAGCCGTTAGCTTACGTACTGTCCGCTTCGAGTGGACCTTGGACAATTGGTACCAGAATTCAACTTAAGTCTTACTTAAGAGAAATGTTATGAGTTCGAATCCTGGGAACATGACAGAAAGTCGTGAGGGGTAAGTGGACGCAAGGCCCACCTGAAGCGGACAATACGTAAGCTAACGACTTGGGTACAGAGACCCGGGTCGTTATACCTAATCCCAAGACTGTGAGCTTTAACAAGAACCTGGACACAAGAAAAGGGGAAATTTTAAGGGTAAAATGAAAATGAAAATGAAAACCAAAGATAAAAAGTGTTTCTATTGCCTTGGAGAGGGTCACTTCATTAAAAATTGTCTTAAGAGACTTGGTTTTTTGAAAAATAAATCAAAAGAAGATGGTGGTGCAGCTTTGACCTATAACAATGAGGCTCAAATTGATGAAGTATATGTGGCAGTAAACTGTCCACCTTGTGAAGAGTGGATCATTGACTCAGGCTATACATACCATATGTGTCCAAACAAAGCGTGGTTCGCGGAGTTTGAAAATGTAACTGGGGGTAAGGTTTTAATGGGTAATCACATGACATGTCAGGTAAAGGGAATAGGAACTGTTACTTTAAAGGTAAAGGGGAATAATGAACTGATTCTTGAAAAAAACTAGATATGTACCTGATTTACAAAGAAATCTTATTTCCTTGGGGGGTTTTAGATGACCTATACTATGACATTCTAATTAACAAGGGATACATTAAAATCTTGAGGGGCTCACAAGTAATTGTTGAAGCTCCAAAGAGACATGGACTATATATTTTACAAACTAAAAATTTTTTAGACTCCACTTAAGCAACAATTTCAATCCAAAATGATAAGTCACAAAAGATTGGGTCATATTAGTAACAAAGGGCTTCAGATTCTGAAAAAATAGGGTTCCTTTCATAAAGATAACATTGAGAAACTTAGTTTTTATGATTATTGCATTCTTGAAAAACATAACAGATTGCCTTTTCTGCCTAGAATGCATAAATCTTTGTCTATTCTTGAATATTTGCATGCTGATCTTTGGAGACCAGCTTCTGTACCAACACAAACTAGTTTAAGATATTTCTTATCAATTATTGACTATTTTTCTAGAAAAACTGGACTTTTCTTTTAAAATCTAAATCTAAAACCTTTAGTGTTTTCAAGAAATGGAAAACTTTGATTGAAAACCAAACTGATAAAAAGATTAAGGTTTTAAGAACTGATGATGGTTTGGAATTCTGTAATATTGAATTTGATGAGTTGTGAAAATCTGCTGGTATATTAAGACACAGAACTGTGACACACACTCCACAACAAAATGGTTTGGTTGAATGAAAGAATAGAATGATTCTTGAGAAAGTGAGATGTATGCTTTTAAGTTCTGGTCTGCCTAAAATATTTTGGGGTGAAGCTGTAAAAACTACTAGTTATCTTAATAATAGAAGCCCTGCTAGTGCTATAAATTTTAAAACCCCGGAAGAGATGTGGAATGAGAAACCTATTGACTTCAGTAACTTGAGGATTTTTGGATGTGCAGCTTTTGAACATCAATCAGAAGGTACACTTGAACCTAGGGCTTTTAAATGTGTATTTTTGGGTTATGGTGAAGGGGTTAAAGGGTATAGACTATGGGTGAGAGAAGTCAAAGGCTATAAGATCATAATCAGTAGAAATGTGGTATTTAATGAAGAAGATCTACCCTGTATTAAATCTGAAAATCAAGTAAAACCTCTTAGTCAGACTAAAAATGTGGAAATAGGGATTGAAATTAAGGTGGAGCAACCTAATGATAATATACATCGGAATAGTACACACCTTATTGAGAGAAATGAGAAAACATTTGATGTTCTAGCTCCTATTGGTGAACAGGAAGCCGATTCAGAAACTGACCAGAACTTAGAAAATTATCGGCTTGCTAGAGTTAGGCAAAGAAGACAAATAAGACCTCCAATTAGGTTTGAAGAAGACATTTCTTTGCTATCTTATCAAGGTTTGATTGAGAATGAACTTGAGTCTTTTGAGGAAGTTATGAGGAGTAAAGACTCTAACCATTGGCTTGCAGCAATGCGAGATGAAATGCAATCACTTAAAAAGAATAAAACCTGGATGTTGGTCAAAAGTCCTGAAGGTAAAAGGGTTGTTGATTGTAAATGGATCTTCAAAATTAAAAGAGAGGAACAAAGTGAAAATGACATCAGGTATAAAAATAGGCTAGTGGCAAAGGGTTTTACACAAAAAGAAGTTGTTGATTTCAATGAAATATTCTCTCCAGTTGTGAAATTTACAGCTGTTAGGGTTATTCTAGCCTTAGCCACTCAATTTAATTGGGAGCTAGATCAATTGGATATCAAAGCCGCCTTTTTAAATGGTGGCTTAGATGAAACTACTTACATGAAACAACCTAAAGGTTTTGAAATAAATCAGAAAGCTGATTTAGTTTGCTTCCTTTAAAAATCCCTATATGGCTTAAAACAAACTCCAAGGTAATGGTATAAAAAATTTGATAATTTTGTACTTGGACTTGGATTTAAGAAAAGTAACTTTGATACTTGTCTTTATTGTAAAGAAAATGGTGGAGAAAATTTACTCTATCTACTCCTTTATGTGGATGACATGCTATTGGCAAGTTATGACATTAAAGAGATAGAAGAAATAAAAGACAAATTAAAATCAAAATTTGAAATGAATGACTTAGGTCCTGTAAGAAGGATTTTGGGTATTGAAGTTAAAAGAAATAAAAGGGAAGGCACGCTAAGTCTTAGCCAAAAATCATATATGCTGAAATTGCTAAATAAGTTTGCTATATCTGATTCAAAAATTGTGAGCTTACCTTTGGTTAACCATTTCAAAATTTCTAATAAACAATGTCCTAAATCTAAAGAAGAATTTGAAAAAAATGGCAAGAGTGCACTATTCTAATGCAATTGGGTCTGTGATGTACACTTATGGTTTGTTCTGGACTAGATTTGGCATATTCTATAAGTGTTTTGAGTATATATATGTTAAATCCTAGTGAAGCACATTGGAAAGCCATAAAATGGCTTCTTAGATATATAAAAGGTACTTCTGATTTAGGAATTTTATTAAGAAGACAATCTGAAGGTGTTGTTTTGAGAGGGTATACTGATTCAGATTATGCTGGTGATATGGACAATAGGAAGTCCAATTCACCCTATATGTATACTCTGCGTAATTCTTATATAAGCAGGAAATCTCAATTTTAGAAGATTGTTGCCTCATCTTCAATTGAGGCAGAATATATAGCTGTTAAAGTTGCTATTAAAGAAGGAATCTGGTTAAACGGGTTATTAAATGAATCTGACTTTATTAAAGAAGTGGTTCTTTATTCAAACAGTTAATCTACCATTCATTTAAGTAGAAATCCTATATTGCATAATAGATCTAAACATGTTGACGTTAAATTTCAGTTTATAAGAGATAATTTCACAAGGTGTTGTGAAATTAGAAATGATTTCTACTAATTATAACCCTGCTGATGTAGATACCAAGGTGCTGCCACTAAACAAGTTTCTGGATTGTCTAAATCTGCTGAACATCATTGCATGTTAATTTGAGAATCTGGTGAAGTGCTAATAATGTTAGAAAAGAGAGAAACCAATGTAAAAGAATGTGGATCATTGTACCAAGGTGGAGAATGAAAGGTTGTGGCACAATAATGTAATTGCGTGTGTTGACCGGTTTGCTGATTTTATTAAGATGTTGGCTGGTTTGTTGCAAAAACGTTTTTCAGTTTAAAACCGTGTTTCTCCCATAAATCGACGCTTCTGATGATGCCATGTGTCAATCCCACATCCGTTGGATGGCTGACCATTTGGTGACTCATATAAATAGCGCCCTAGGGTTTGAGACACGTGATTTTTTTTCATTCTTCTGGCTTCCAGACTCTTCCTTTTCTTTGGCCGTTCGAGTTCTTCATCTTCTCCTCTTTGAAAATCAAAATTCTCATTTGATTTTCATGACTCTCTCAAATCTGTTTTGCAATCTTGAGTGATTCTTTTTGAGAAGAGTGGTGTGTTCTTGTGTGAACAATTTTTTTCTATAGCGAGAAGATTGAATCTTCAGTGTTCTTGTGTGGTTACGGTCTGAGTGCAAAAACACCGGAGTTTCTTTTCTTGGTCTTGGTTCCTTCCGCCAGTGGTTCTCTTGTAACGGAAGCACTTGATTTTGGGTGTTATTTGCCTTAGGGCAAACAATTAATGAAACTATATTTTAAATAGAATTTTGTTCAGTTCTTATTTAGTTTCTCGTATATTTTTGTTGTTTAAATCGTACTAACTCTTGAACCTCCTCTTAACACTGATAACGACTAGCTTGCTGATGCGTAAGAAGATACATCATAACGGATGGCACTTTTATCTTAAAAATGTATCATATTTTTAAATTTTATGGTTAAGACTTCGCAAAAATATACATATTCGAATTCTGATGAATCAAAATTTTAGAAATGTTATAAATAACTTGTCCCCTTTTCTGAAGCTTGAGTAATAATGTGACTTAAGATGGATAAGAGTAGACAAAGATTTAAGATTCAAGTTTCACCATCACCAATTAGTTTAAAACTGAATCTTAAGAAGGTGCTACAGGGGGATAAAAACTACAGGGGGATAAAAACAAATCAATAGGATTAAAACAAGCCACAATAATTGTTACAGAATTGCAATACAAAAATTCCTAATAATGTTTGCATAACGCAACAATTGATTAAATTAAATAAAGCACAACCAAAACAAATTGCAATTATGCTCTGTACAACCTGAAAACGGTATAGTCTGCTCACTGATTATATCAGCCAGCACATACTTACAATATCCTGAGAAATTCAGGAGTTACCTTATTCCACAAATATACCAATCACAATCCATGCTAAATGTATAAACCAAACATCCCTAAATAAAAGTGAGCATGACTATCTGACCACGATTATATTGTCATCATTTGAATGGACGACGTCCACGTTTAGAATCTCGAATCTGTTTTCGGAAAGCTTCCATGGGTAAGGGTTCCATGGTTCGGTTCTGTTATGCCTCAGCAAACTGCTAGCAGATTTCAGCTTCAGATTTCAGCAAAGCTAAAATCTTGTATTGTCCAGATGATCTAATACTACATATCACCCATGCATTATGTGGCTATCTGCCTTCTTCCACCAGTCGACTTTGTGATCATTTCTTTCAGATCATCATAGCGATTGCGGTAATAATCAATCCAAGTACAGAGTTCTCTTATTGCCATTCTTTTCTCGGCACTTAGACTCAAGAATCCCTGATCTTTCTCATTCATCTTTTCATCCCTTTCTTGTACCATTTTCTCCAGCTCTCCCAACTTTTCTTCTCGTTCTGTTACCGTTTTCTCCAAATTTTCCTTCTCGTCTTTGGCCTTCTGCAATGTTGTCTCAAGTTCTTCAACCTTCTCTCTCAAAAGCAACTCTAGTCCTTTCTCATTTTTCAGTTGCTGAACTAAGTTGGCGATTTCCTTCTTTAGCTCATCTTTCTCAGCCGTGGTCTCTTTTATCCAGTTAGCTGCAACCTTAAGCTCATTCACGATTTCATAAATTCTGGACTCTAAGTGACCGTAATCTTCCTCAAACTTAACGCTAAATGCATCAAATCCCGTCAAGGTTTCATTTACTCTCTCTGATACATCTGTTACGATTTTCATTTGAGCCTCTTTGTAAGTAGCAAGTGTTCCAGACAATGATGCAATTTTCTCCTGAAGTACGTTTTGTTCTTGCAGCAACTTCTCTATTTTGCTCCTCTGGTCCTCTTCCTTCTCAGTCAGCAACTGTTCTGTGATTCGGAGCTTTTGATTTGTTAACCGGAGCTTGACTTCAGTATTTCGTACATTCTCAACCAATGTAGCAAGTTCATCTTCTTTCATCTCCAGATCTCTTTTCAGGTCTTCAATGTTTTCTTCCAATTCATCAACTTTCTGATTTTTGGTATCAATATCCTTGTGGAACTGTTCTGTCATCTCTTCTATCTTCTTTTCTGCAGATTTGAGATTTTCCTCACAGATTTGAAACCGACCCTCGAGTTTTTTGTGCTCTTCGCTTAATTTGATGAATGCACCCTCCTCTTCTTTCAGCACTGTATCCTGGTCTGCGATCTTCTTCACTAATTCCTTTGTCTGATTCTCGGCTTGAGCCAAACTTTCGATAGACTCTTGTTTACTTCTTTCTGTTAGCTCCTCCAACTGCCTTTTATCTGAATGCAGTGAGTCTATTTGCTGATGCAAATGGTTAACCTGTTCTGTTAACGTAGCAATTTGAGTGGACGCTTCATTCTGCACATCCTCCATTTTTTTCTCGACAGCATTGACCTCATCTACTCTCTCTTTTAGTATTTTCTCCAATTCAGAAATATTTCTTTCCAGACCCTCTTTTTCTTCCAGTATTCTCGTTTTGCTCGATAATTCCTCTTTTAACCTTTCTATCTGAATAAGAAATTCTGATATTTCTCCACTTCTTTTCTCAAGAATGGAATCTCCTTCAATTTTCTGTGCTCTTAAAAGACCCAATTGCTCTTGGAAATTGCTTATTTCCGCGGTCAAAGCCATGATTTGAGCAGACGCTTCACTCTCCCTATCTTCAGATTGCTTCTGTACACTGGAGAGTTCATCCTCTTTCTCTTTTAATGACCTCTCCATCTCTGAAGTTTTAACTTGCAGGCTTTCTGTTTCCTGTTGCAACTGAACAAAGCCCTCGCTTTTGCTTTTCAGCTGCTCTTCTAATTCATTTTTCAGGTTGCTTAAATTGTTGAGCTCCAGTTCCAAGTCTTTTATTCGTGACACAAAATTCTCCCTCTCTTCCAGTAGCTTCTGTTTCTCTGCAGTCTTGGTTCCACACTCCCCGTTTAAAGTCACTACCAGATTTTGGAGTTCCGAAATTTCCTTGCTTTTGCATCTTAGCTGCTCCTCCAGTTCAATTTTTATGTCACCTAATGAGTTAAGCTCCAATTCCAGATCCTTCACCTGTAATACAAGACTCTCCTTTTCTTCAAATGTCTTCTGTTGTTCTGAGTTCTTGTTAGCCAACTCCTCCTTTAATGTCTCAATCTTAATTAGGAACTCAGAAATTTCTTGACTCTTTTTCTCCAGTACTGTTTCTGTTTCAGTTTTTTGGATGAGTAGAGATTCCAGTTCCTGTTGCTTTGCATTGACCTGATTTGTCAAGTCTTCAACTTGAGCTGATGCCATTTTGTCTTTATTTACTAGTTGTTCTTCTAACTCACCTTTATTGATGCGTATAGCTTCCACTTCAAGTAGCATACTGTTGATCCGTGCTGTCAGGTCATTAATTCGAGATGATGAATCACTCTCTTGATCCTCAAGTTTTTTCAGGAGAGTGGAAAATGCATCATCTTTATTTTTCTCTAATTCTCTTCTCTGTATATGTAATGAATCGAGTTCCAGTTCCAAATCCCTCACACGAGTTGATGTTTCATTTTTGTGGGTCTCATGCATTTCCAGTTGAGCCAAAAGCTCACTCTCTTTCTCATCCAATTTCTCCTTTAACTGGCTTGATTTGGTCACGAGATCTTGAATTTCGTTCTGCACCTTCTTTATGTCATCCTCAAGTTGCAAAATTTTTGAGGATAGAGCATTTTTTTCCTCTTCAGTTGTCTTTTGTGTCTGACGAAGCTCAGCTACTTCCTTCTCGGCTGATTGAAGTTGCTCTTTTAAGGTAGAAAATTCAGCTTTCAATGCTTCTAGTTCCAGCTGTAGTGCTTCTTTCTCTTGCTTCAATTGATCAGCAATGGATCTCAAGTTTTCTGCGTTTCTCTTCTCCTCTTCAGTGCTACTGATGGCTGTCTCCTTCTCCAAGATTAGTCCATCCCTCTCTCTGCTCATGTCTTCCAGTTTCTGATTCAGTTCAGCTTGTAGCTTACCAGCACTTTCCAGCTTCATATTCAGATCAGCGTTTTCGTCTGTCAAGTTGCTAATTCGAGATAGTGAATCTCTCTCTTGATCGTCTAGTTTTTTAAGGAGAGTAGAAAATTCATCATCTTTCGTTTTCTCTATTTCTCTTCTCTGAGAATGTGATGAATCAAGTTCCAGTTCCAAATCCCGCACACGACCTGATGTTTCATTTTTATGAGTCTCATGCATCTCCAAGTGAGTCAAGAGCTCTCTATCTTTCTCAACCAGTTTCTCCCTTAACTGGCTTGATTCGGTCACAAGATCTTCAATTTTGTTTTGCGCCTTCTTTATCTCATCCTCAAGTTGCAAAATTTTTGAGGACATGGCATTTTTTTCTACTTCAGTTGCCTTTTGGGTCTGACATAACTCGGCTACTTCCTTATCTGCTGATTCAAGTTGCTCCTTTAGGGTAGAAAAATCCGCTTTCAATGCTTCTAGTTCTAGCTGTAGTGCTTCTTTCTCTTGCTTCAACTGATCAAAAATGGATCTCAAATTTTCTGCATTCCTCTTTTCCTCTTCAGTGCTATTGATGGCTGTCTCCTTCTCCAAGATTAAGAAATCCCTCTCTCTATTCATGTCTTCCAGTTTCTGATTCAGTTCAGCTTGTAGCTTATCAGCACTTTCCAGTTTCATATTCAGATCAGCGTTTTCATCTGTCAATTCATTAATTCGAGATAATGAATCTCTCTCTTGATCCTCAAGTTTTTTCAGGAGAGCAGAAAATTCATCATCTTTCTGTCTCACTATTTCTTTTCTCTGAGTATGCGATGAATCAAGTTCCAGTTCCAAATCCCGCACACGAGCTGATGTTTCATTTTTGTGGGTCTCTTGCATTTCTAAGTGAGTCAAAAGCTCTCTTTCTTTCACTTCCAGTTTCTCCCTTAACCGGCTTGATTCAGTCACCAGATCTTGAGTTTCGTTTTGCGCCTTCTTTATCTCATCCCCAAGTTGCAAAATTTTCAAGGATAGAGTATTTTTCTCCTCTTCAGTTGCCTTTTGAGTCTGATGTAACTCAGTTACTTCCTTCTCCGCTGATTCAAGTTGCTCCTTCAGGTTAGAAAATTCCCCTTGCGATGCTTCAAGTTCAATCTGTAGTGCTTCTTTCTCTTGTTTCAATTGACCAGCACTCTCCAGCTTCATATTGAGATCAGCATTTTCAGTAGAAAGTCTTGCTTTCTCTTCATTCAATTTTTCAGTTTGAACATTCAAATCCGCTATAATTTTCTCCGCTTCTTGTATTTTGTTTAAAGCCCTTTGATATTCCAAACTTAATGCTTCCTTTTCTTCTGTTTTCACGGTCAGCTTCTTCTCCAAGTCTGCAACCTGCAGAATTGCAGTTTCGAGTTCTTGCTTGATTACTGTATTATTCTCAAAATCATTTTTCATTTTACCATTTTTGGGGCCCTTTTTCCTTGGAGAATCATCTGAGTCAGAATCTGAGCTGGAGGACGAAGAGCTACCGTTTCCTTGTTTATCATGTACATTTTTCTGCAATTCTCCTGTCAGATGATCATATCGATCATAAAGAGATAGGTAGTGATTGTAGAAATCCTTGATCAGATCAACAACTGGCCCTTTCCCATGGTTATCTTCTTCATTAAGAGCCTTTAAGATCTCCTCCACTTTGCCATCAACATCTACAATAAATAGGCAAATTTGAGCATATCAAAGGGTATTGAGGTTACGGGAATAAAGATAGCTGAAGCTGGGAGATACAGTCCTCTCCTTGGTGCAAAATGGTAATAGTGAAACGTTTTACTTTCTACGAACTGAAAAACCTACTCAACAATGCATATTAGAAGAGTTAAACAATTAATTCCAGAGATTGTGCACCTGCTTTTGTTCCTTTCAGCTCATCGTCTCTTTCAGGATCAATGTGACTCCCAACAAAGGATTTAAATGATTTCCGCCAACGATGCTTTGGCATCTCTTCTTTTGTTTTTTGACTACTTGATTTGATCGTATTCTAAATCACTGGAAGGCCGTCTTCATCCTGAAAAGTGTACTTCAATTCAGTAAAACACGAATTGATTTTGTTTTCATTCTGGACTGCTTAATCACAATCCAGTTGGAAACTATCAATAATCATGAGGCATCCAGATAAAGGATCCAGAAGATCAGAAGGGCAATTTGTACAATGGTTGAACAAAATTGGCGCATTGCAGCCATATTCTGTTACTCTTAAAGCATACGTCCTTTATGTGGAAATTGAAGAAAGATTCCAATTTCTGATGCTCGGATAAAATGACTTACCTTTTCCAGTAAATAGGTAGAAAATTGAATTTAGAGGTTCTAGTTTGACAATGAAAAGGTTCGATAAAGTTTAAGATAGCATGTTTGGATAACTTAATATAAGTCAAACTTTTGGTAACTTTTTTTTTCTCCAAATGTATATGGAAATTACTTTATTCTTCTTATTATTATTTTTTTTTTAAAAAGTTACTTAATTTAATAATAAATAAAAAAGTCACTTTTTTTTAGTCAACATGAAAATTCCTAAATTTGTCCTAAAGCCTAAAGGGGATTTTAATAAGTTGATGCACTGAAGTCCACGAATGGTAATTGAATAGAGTAATGGAAGCAGTCTATGATTGCTTAGTAAAGATCTTAAATGCATTCCAAGCAAATCAAATTACCCCTTCCACACTAGGAAAACGAAATTTTTGCTGTTATTTTAAAACTCAGTCGTGCAGTGACCCAGAAAAAGATAAAAGGGTCCAAAGTTAATCGAAAAGCCATCGTGCAGTGACCCAGAAAAAAAGGGTCCAAAGTTAATCCAAAAGTCATAACACGTTGATACCATAAAAAATTATAAACACAAGTTAATTTTGATCAATATGAAAATAAAAAATTAAATGATCAATAGGTTCGTTCTACAATATCAAGAAACTCACGATTATGTATTGAAAATCAAGACGGAATCATCCATAAGCAATTTTTTCTTCTTTTTACAAGAAATTGCAATTAAGAATTCAAGTCAATGTGGGGTTGTAAATCCCCATCGCAATCATTTCGACTTTTTAAGAATGGTGACATATTATACCCAAGCCGATTTCCAATTTTTCTAATCAAACCTATCTGGCCAACTTTCAAAACAATGTTTTTCATGCCAACATGAATATCGTTCTAGCAAATATTCAACTCATATGAAGATAAAATTATTATGTCAATCATCCGTGAATTATTTTTCACAAGTCCTATAGAAATATCATGCAACGTCATTGTAACTTTAGGTAAATTGATTCAACAAAAATGCAGTATCTACAAAATTTTTTGTAGAGATGGATTTACAGGTGCTTGGATGGCAGAATTTAATTAATTGATTTAACTTTGTTCTTTGTCCAAAATTTAATGAAAACTTATCCGCTGACATCTTTTAAATCAGTTCATAAAAATAACCTGTACGTGTAGTATTTCTCTTGATTCAATAGTTAGATAGACTTTCAAATTCCAATGCACATGGCACCAAATCAAGCATGGCTATAGAAATTTTCTTCCGGGAAAACGTCATTTTCTTTTCCCTAACCTTTTTGAAAAAAAAGTTCACCACCTATTGTCACATGATATGGCCCACCATAAACCAACAAACTCAATCCAAATCAACTTCATAAAAGAATCATAAATGCAAAACTGCTTTTGAATCACAATTAAGACGTAGTTATCTGCCGCTCCTACATTAGAATAAACTTAAGTATCCAAATACGTAAATACAGATACACATAGAGCTAAATTTGAAATCGAAAAAGACAGCCACAAATGATTTGTGTACACCAAAATGCCAGCTAATTGTCTGACCTTTTGAATTTTGGCCATCAAAAAAGTAAACAAGTACATTGCTTTTCCTATTTTTTTAATTATTATTCTGAGAAAAAGAATTTTGTCCTATTCAAATAAAGATATATACAGAAACCTCATTTTCCAAAAGCGACTTGGAGAAGAAATCTAGGCCCTTTTTTTCTCCTTCCTTGACTAGGAATAATTCCGAAGTTCGAAAATAAATTTCAAAGTTTGAAAAACAAAATAAAAAAAAAAAAATATACACTTACCAGCAATTTCTTCTAAAATCTTAACATATTGAAAGGAGCTAATGAACTAAATTCATTTTTTATGATGATGAGATTTAAACTCGGGTCTCTTTTCTAACTTTGATGGGTTTGAATTTAAATCTTAACCTAGTATCTTCAGATCTATAAATTGATTTAACATAACAAATTATTGCAATTTCAAGATTTACGCAGCTTAAAATTCAATTAGGGTCACAAACAATATGATAAAGGAAAAAGATTTCTGAAAATCGCTGAATCAGCTAATTTTTTGGATCATAAAACAGGGGAAGGCATAGGAAAAAAAAAAAAAAAATTCTTTCACAGACTATGATTTTGTTTTTCAGGATTAAAGAAGTACCATCAACAAGTGAAATCATTGAAATAATTCCCAGAAACATTAGTAATAGAAGGAAATTCTGATTCTGTTCTCTTCCAAGAAGTTGATCCGAAAACTTAAATCAAAACAAATCGTCAATCACACAACTATAATAAAAACTAAACTGAATAAATTAACTGCAAAATAATCAGCCAATTCTCCACTGCTGACAATTGAAAAAGTTCATTGGAATTTCCAACAGAAGAAAACAAACTCAACTTCTTCAAGTAATCTGATTTGGAATTTCCAACAGAAGTAAACAAACTCAACTTCAAGTAATCTGATTTCATTACTGAATTCGTAACAAAGAGAAGATACAAACTGAATTATTAAGCTATTCCAGATTCGGACTAAGCAAATATGAATTTAATCCGAGTTGATTATTTGACCTCTCAATTCGTCAACTACGTAATCATAATTAAGTAGAACTGGAAAAAGTAAAAATAAAAATAAAAAAAGGAGCCACTAGCAGAACAAAGAATAATACACGAACTGAATTTTTCAGCTAATCGATAATCAGATTAAGAACAAAATCGAATATAATCCGACTATAATAATCAATGAATTACCTAAGAATCAGAGCTCAAAAATATACTTCTTCCAGCCTCAAACGAACCTCAATCCACAGGATCGTCCAACACAGAGACAGAGAAGACACCAAAAATTTAGAGAGAGAGAGAGAGAGAATTATGTAATGATGTGACCAGCATATAAAATTAAGGAGTTTTCAAAAACGAATAAAAAAGTTTTAAAAATTGAAAAAGTGATTTTGTCTGGCACACGGAGCACTGTTAGTGCATTTCGTAGCGTCAATTTTGATTGGCGAGGAGGAAAGAGAGGTATGGAATATTTGGAGTTTTCTGTCGGCTATAATGCCCTTTGATTTTGAGTTAATTAACAAAATGCCATTTTGCAGTTATTATTTTATTTATGAAAATTCTGATGCTGAAGTGTACAAGTCATTTTTTGTCCATTTATAATAATAATATTAATATTATTAATAGGCGGATCTTATGAAACATTAATTATATAAAATTCTTTTTAAAGTTGCACATCTGGGACATTCTGTCCTTGCACATGTATCAACTAGCGAAATTGCTCCTGCAGTCCTCATTCTATATTTAAATGACCAAATGAGTCCTTGTTAATTTTTCTGAACTATTGAGACATTCGATATGTGACGCCTGTGACAATCATGGCTGTTGAAGTTGACCTTGCAGTATATACTCTTTGCGCACCCACTGTTAAAGAGGATACACAATTTACGAATTAGGATTTTTATTTTCACCCTTGCTTAGCTTCTCTCAATTTATGAATTCTTCATTTTCTACCTTTCTTCATTTCGAATATCTCGTGTGATTTCTTCTATAATATCACTCTTTGGGTGAATAATGGTTAAAGCTTAGGAAGAGTGGAGTTCTTTACTTTCACAACAATAGTAACTCATGAAGCAAGGCCGATTTTGCATAGAAGCGAGTGAGGCTTGCGTTTCAGGCCCAATATTAGAGGGGGTCTCAAATTTATGCATTTTTCATTCTTCCTTTTTTTGGAGGTGAATTAGGTTCACTAAAAAATTTTTATTAAAAATTTGATAATTATGACCATTCCATTTATAAATAAAATATTTTTTTATTGTGGAAATTTCATTTCTAAATTAGACCAATTTCAAAAGTAATAGAAAGGAACAAGTGACTATGATTTCTAAGTTCTACATAACTTGTTCATTACATAGATAGTATTCAATTTAGTTGTTTAAAATAAGAGATGTTTTATTTGACTTGATAGAAATTAATGAAAATCTTAAAACAAAGAGTGAAATCGAATCTTTATCGACATATGTATTTCAAAATTATGAGTTCTCACTTGACATAGTAATTTGGTACATATTGTTGCATACAATTAATATTATGAGTAAATTTCTTCAAATTGAAAACATGAATATTAATGACGATATCGACCTTCACAATGATTTGTTTCATTTCTCAAATATCGTAGAGAAATTGAATTTTTCTTTTGTCATGAATAAACTTACAAAAATGGCGAGTAAAATTGGAATTGAAATTGTATTTCGAGAAAAACGTATAATTTGGGGAAAAAACATAAAAAAAAAGGAGCAATTTAACGAAAGTAGTAGTGATAAGGTAAATTAATTAACTAAAGAATCTTTTATTATTGAATACTTTCTTTTTATAATTAATCAAACTCTGTCTTCTCTAAGAATCGATCTAAACAATTTAAACAATATTAAGAGATATTTGGATTTTTGTTATATTTGGAAAAGTTAAGGCTGATAGCTTTTGTCAATTTGTTGAAGCCTTGTACGATCTTGAGAAGTATATGAAACATAATGGACATTCAAATATTAATGAAGACGGTTTATGTTTTGAGTTGTATGTCTTGATGTGCTATGTATCAAGTAAAGCAAAGAAAGCAATCGAAATGCTACAATATTTGAAGGCATCGTAAATGTCTATATTATTTACAAAATTTTGTTAACCATACTTTATCTCCGATCAACTATATCATAAAAAAAATTGAATGAATTGACCATGTTATCAATTGAGAAAGAAAATTGTTGAACACCTAGATTATTCAAATTTGATTAATGTTTTTGCATCTAAAATTGCAAGACAATTTGTATTTAACTGATCGTTTTGAATATTATCGACTTTGCTATATGATTATTATATAAATATTTTGTATAAAAAATTTATTTGTTATTTTATTATTAAGTTTTAAATTAACAAGTTAGCTATTGACTACATAATACACTTATAAATTTTACATACATACAACAATTTTGAGTTTTAATTTATGAAATTCGTCTCAGACCTCGAAAATCACAGAACTAGCACTGCCGTGAAGGGAGTAGGTTTCGAGGTTCTTGGTAAGTTCTTGTGAAAATTCTTTGGGATGTCTAGATGGCGATGGCGCAGGTGGTGTAATCTTGTAATAATTATACAACTTCTGCTAATGCTATTAGCATTTTCACTCATCGGTGCTATATAGCATTACTCAAATGATTAGAAACTTTAATTAAGCTTTTCTTTATTGGAATTAAAATAACGAATTTTCATTCTACAATGTGCTTGCAAACCGGACATGAGCCAACACAAGCCCGCCTACGATGCAAAGGATGCTTTGAGCGTTTTATATGTGCACTTTGCAAATATGTGACTTCACACCACTGTGCAAATTTCTAATGATGTGGCATAGACGATGTTTATCTTGCAAGTGAACGGTGTGATTCAATGGAATCGCTGATGAGGTCAATGATTAGGCGAGATCGTTCCAAACATGTGCATATAGAATGATCATGGACCTTTGTGATATGGCTTGCTAATCTTATCGCACTTTGAAACAATGGAATCTAATGGTCTAAATAGATTTGTCCAAAAATTGGAGCAATTCAAAAAAGACATAATAATAATAAATCATATAAATATGACACTCCTAATTCTATTTTATTCATTCCAAATTAATTCAAAAATAATTGATAGGAAAATATTATGTATACACAGTGTCATTATACCTCTCTCACATGGAGGAGACCTCACACACAATAAAATATTCGTGGCCCCCTCCATATGAAAGGGGTATAATACATTGTGTACACCTCGTAGCATTTCCCTGATTGATATCTAAATCCAAGTGGTGGATGGGAAAATTAGTACAGGCAAGATGCCTCAGTGGGACCAATCTACCTTCGGCAGGGGACGAAGGCTGAAAACATGGGAAGACTGTACAGACATGAATTCCAAAATCTTCTAACCTTAAACCTCTCTTTTTGAAGGCTTAAAATCTGTAGGAGTCCAGCAGCCGGTCTAAGGTTTTTCGAAGGTAGTTTTGAGATAGTGGGGAACCTCATCATTACAAAAGAAGAAAATCAACCTCGAGAATTCAGTCAAGTTCAAAATCGACCATTGGATCAATTTAATCCTGGCCTTGAATTCAATTTTTCTACAATATTTTGTCTATAAATACTCATTAGTTTCATTTGCGAGGGCAGAGAGTGAAGTGAGGTACATTTTGAGAGATTTGCAAAGAAGATTTTTTCATTAATACAAAGGCAAGACTCTCCCAAACTCGGCTGATTGTTGTCCTTATTATTACTCTCCATCCGTTACAATTATATTGGTTGGATTTCCTTTTTTCTCGGATTGTTGTCCTTATTATTACTCTCCATCCGTTACAATTATATTGGTTGGATTTCCTTTTTTTGTCTTAAATATATAGGTCTGTTTCCTAATTTAAAATATTTTAATTTATCCATTTATCAATATACTCTTATTCAATTTCTCCCAATTAATATGTCAACTTCTTGAAATCATTCAAATACACACATTTCCACTTTTTGGAAACATGGAACATCTCTCATTTCTTCTTTTTCAACTTAAATCATTCAAATTCTTATTAATTCCAACAATAATTTACTATTATATATTGAAAATTAAATAAGGGTAAACTATGAAAGATCTTGGCAAAAACTGATTTTCTAATGATATTAAAGAAGAGTTCTTAATCCGTATGAAACGAAACAAGCCTATATAATTGTGACAAATGTAGTATTTTGTTTTAAATCTTCTTCTCAAAATTACAAAGTTTAACCTCGAAGGTTAAATTTTGTAAGTGTTTCTAAAGCTTCCCTCTTGAATTCTTACCAAGTAATTTTCGAGTTTTCTCAAGTCAAAGATTGAATGTTGAGTTTTCATGTCCGTATTGATAAACTTCAATCAAGAAGAGTACAATCAAATTTCTGTTAACACGATAAAATTAATATTATGATGTACTATTTTTTTTTTTGGAAAAAAGAGTACTGTAGCTTCAATTTTGGGAGAAGACATCTGTAGGTCATGTTAGAGCTAGATGATAAGTGTATTTTATACACTTATTTGGTGCCTAAAATAGTGATATTTGATGGTTCATTTGACAAAAAATATCCTAAAATTTTATATATTATGTTTAATAGGCGAAACTCTATGAATGAAAAAGGAGTTGAAGGAAAGAAGCAAAAATTGTCCATGAGATGGAAGTTGGGGATCAAATTTTGCACTTTGAAAGTTGAGGACTCGGAAAAAAATAATTTATTAATGGGCCTCAAATTAGGAGTTGTAATTGGACTTGCAAAAGGCGTGAAATTAAGAAGGAATTGGATTCTTATTTTTTAGACTACTAATTGGAGGTTGGAATTGATTGGAAAATTAAAGATAATTAGACTCCTACTTTCTACCACAACAATGGGCCGCACAAAAACTTGCTTTGGAATAAAAATTGTGAAAATTACAGGAATTAAGTATTTTAAAGATCTCAATTCATAATCAAGAGTTACAAGTTTTTCTTTCAAAAAACAAATGTAATTAAAATTTTAAACATTAATAATAATTCTAAAAACCAATTCCCCTCTCTTTTCCCTCTTCTCAATTTCTTTGCCTACCCCTACTACTCACGACACCGCCGCCCCTCTCTAATTAAACCAAAACCTAAGAGAGAGAGGAGAGGAAAATCTACAAGTTTTCCAATGCTAGGATGGATATTTGACCGACAGTGTTGTGTCGACGGAGCGATCTTCCTCCCCTTCATTAACTCAGCCAAACTCCGCATCATCTTTGAGTGGTTCTTCGCTGGGTTTGAGGGACGCCGGAAGTAGTTATACTAATGACGTTAATAAGATTAATGGTGTCAGTAACCACGATTTATTGGATGATGACGAAGAGAGGGATGTTTCCCAGATTTGTCGAAACCCTGGCAACGCGAAT